AGCACTCCTGAACCTGTAACTATGCTGAGGGTTCTTCCTACTGAGGTGCAGCACCTTGCACTTCTCTGTATCAAAGGCCATCCAGTTTAGGTCGGCCCACCTTGAGAGTATGTCCAAGTTGGTCTGTATCCCCAGCCTGTCCTGTGGTGTGATGGCCCTCCCCCATAATTTGGTATCATCTGTGAACTTGACCAGTTCACATCTGACTCCCGAATCTAGATCGTTGGCACAAATGTTAGAGTACTGGCCCAAGTACTGAGCCCTGAGGGACTCCACTGGTAACACTGCGCCATGTTGATTTGCTCCCTTCATCTAGTACTCTTTGGGTCCGACCCCGTAGCCAGTTGCCTAGCCATTGGACCATATGATGATCTAGGCCACAGTTCCCCAGCTTAACCATGAGGATATCATGAGGAACTAGGTCAAAGGCCTTCTTAAAGTCCAGATAAATGACGTCCACTTCATCTCCCTTGTCCAGGGCAAATGTTACCTGGTCACAGAAGGAGATGAGGTTGGTCAGGCAAGACCTGCCAGTCACAAAGACACAATGGCTGGCATTCAGAAGCTTGCCTTCCATTAGTTTGGCATTAATGGATCGCTTGACAATTTTCTCCAGAATTTTTCCAGGGTTGGACATCAGACTGATTGGTCTATAGTTCTCTGGCTCATCCTTTCTCCCTTTCTTGTAGATAGGGACCACGCTGGCTCTTTTCCAGTCATCAGGGACCTCGCCTGAGCACCATGATTTTCCAAATATCCCTGCCAAGGGGGATGCAATGATGTCTGCCAGCTCTTTCAAGACCCTTGGGTGCATTTTATCTGGGCCCACGGACCTGTGAATATCTAATTTTCTCAAAGTGTTCCCTCACCGGATCAACATCAATTTTTGGCCCGCCACCCACTCCCAAGTTGGTTTGTGCCATTCTTGGCAGTGTGATCCTCATGGGAAGATGAAAAACCAATGTGAAAAAGTCATTTAGGAGATTGGCCCTTCCTTGGGCATCTGATATCAGTTGCACCGTTGGCTCTGTCAGGGGCCCAATACTGTCCTTGTTCTTTTTCCAACTTCCCACATATATAAAGAAGGACTTTTTGTTGTCCTTGATCCCCGTAGTAAGCCTAAGTTTGGTTTGTGCCTTGGCTTTTCTCGACCACTCTCTGCAGGTGCAGGCGAATGCACAGCAATCCTCTTTGGTAATGCTTCCTGTTTTCCAGCTGGTGTAGGCTACTCTTTTGAGCTTAATGAGATCCAACAGTTCCTTACTCAGCCATAGGGGCTCCTTGTTCGTTGGCTGTATTTCTTGTGAGAAGGGATGGCTTTGCCCTAAGCTTCAAGGATTATGTTTTTGAGCGATGACCATTCCTCATGAACTCCCTTTTTGAGCAGGGGGGGCAGTATGGCCTCTGATTGCCTGACTGACCAGTTCTCTCACTTTGCAGAAGTCGTCCTTCCCAAAGTTAAGGACTTCTGTTTTACTGAAGGGTTTGCCTGCTCTTTGGTGAACTAAGAAGGTAACCAACTCATGGTCGCGGTCACCAAGCTTCCCTTTGATCTGCAGATCGCTCACCAGGTCCTCGCCTTTGGCCAGGACCAGATCCAGCAATGCCTCTCCCCTAGTCAGCCCACAGACCTCCTGGGTTAGATAGAAGTCATCAATGCACATGAGAAAACTATGCAACCTGTCAGATTTGGCCGTGTGATCATCCCAAGAGATGTCTGGGCAGTTGCAGACTCCCATGATGATCAAGCATCGGGAGCATGTGGCTTCAACCAGTTCCCTAATGAATTTCTTATCTAGAACTTCCTCTTGGTGGCTGGGTCTATAGTAGACTCCTATGAGTAAGTCACCCTCCCCATGTTCTCCTCGTATCTTGACCTAGAGGGTCTCAAGGCACCCTTCCTGGTTTGGAAACTCAATCTGCAGAGAGGTGAGCTGATCTTTGACACAGAGAGCAACACCCACACCCCTCTTCCCCACTTGGTCTCTCCTATACACAGTGTAACCCTCTACTGCTACCAATCAATCATAGGTGGAGTCCCACCAGGTCTCCGTAATTCCTACAAGGTTGTAGTCATTATCACATAGGAGAAGGGCCAGTTTCTCATGCTTGTTGCCCAAGCTCCTGGCATTTGTGTACAGGCAGTTAAGTCTTCCATATGAAGCCCAGTGCTTCCCTGAGGGGTTTAGCAGGACCTTTCCTTGGGCTGTCTCCTTTGGGCTGCCCAAGTTATTGGTAATGCAGCTGACATGACCTGGGCTAAAACTGTTAGTAGACCACCGGTCCCCCAGAGGTCTCAGTTTAAGATAAAAGATAGCAATGGGAATTATATACCCAATTAATCCTTGGGAAAATTTTGGAACAAATTATTAAACCTAGAAAAAAATTAAGTGATAAATAGCAGTGTCATACAAAGAGATCTAATTTTCTTCCTTACAGGGTAACCAGCCTAATTAATAAAAGGAAGGGGTTTGACATTGTCTCACAGGATATTTTCATAATTAAGCTAAGGAAATATGATCTAGGTTGGGGTGCTCAAGCTCTGACCACAGGCCAGATCCAGCCTGTGGTGCCATGTCATCTGGCCCAGCTAGTTTCTCAGGGGTCTGGAAATTTGGTAGCAAGGGAACAGTGGCACCGCTCCCTTGCTGCCAAATCTTTGGACCTATGGTGAACCCCAGGCTCTGAGCACAGGATGCAGCATGTGATCCCAGGGCCCAAGGTCAGGCGGGGATAGCGCGGGCCCCAGGGCCCAATCTCCATGTGGGAGCTTGTGCGAGAGGGGTGCCAACCCCCCAGGACTCAATTCCAATATCGAAGGGGGTGGGAGACTCGATCGTGGAGTGAGGGGAGGGAGGATACAGTGCCGTGGAGCTCTCAGTGGAAGACTTTCTGGCTCCAGAGGCTTGTTCACCGGTTATACCTCAACTCCTCTTGGCACTTCATTTTCTTTTGATCTGACATATTCTTGAGCAAATCCAGACACAGACATACCGATACAGGCCTGCTTAGTGGGGGTGCTCTGGAAGCCCTCATGGCACTTGCAGTGGTAGGACCCAGGTGTATTTACACAGTCTCCATGCACGCAGGGGCTGCTGGAGCATTCATCCACATCTGAAAGGAAAAAAGCCTAAAGCTAGAAGCCACCAATATATTGAGTCTAGGCCTGCTCTGCAGCACTTCATCACGGACCCTGCAGATAAACCCAACTAAAGACCAGGAAAGGTTGATTAAGCAGCAAGGGCATGATTTTGCAAGGTGTCAAGAGCCATCCCCTCAGCTCCTATATTTAGCACCTCGAGGATCAGGCCATGCATTAGCACATACCTTACCAAGCCAGTGTGAAAGTTACACATACGGTTCTCTAGAGCAGCGTTTCTCAACCCGTGGGTCGCAGGAATATATAAAAGGGTCATGAGCAAACTTCCAAAAATGGATCAACAAACTTTAAAAATGGATTATCCTTTAAAGGAAAAAACGTGGGAAACTGCAGGTTTCCCTGTGCAGACTGGCAGAGTTCTAGCCTGCCAGGGGCTGCTTGGGGCTGGGGGAGTGGGAGGGTGATCAGGCAGGGGGTGCCACATGCATATGTGTGCACACACTTGAATGTGGCAGCCAGGCAGCATGAGGAGCAGATCTTGCAACTCCCCACAGGTAAGTCTATGGGGTGGGGGGAGTAGATGAGGTGTAGAGGGGCGGGAGCCCACTGGCGACACTGCCTGCACCCCACCTCCTCCCTGGGGTAGAGCTGTGCCCTGAGGGGAGTAGTGGTGGCAGCCAAGCCACAGCGGCAGGGTAAAGCTGCGGCTCAGCACATGAGTGGCTGGTGGTGGGACAAGGGGAGGGCAGTGCGGCCCCCTACCACCATTTGTTACTCCTTGTGCTGCTGGCGGTGTGGCTGGCATGGAGGTCCTGGTGGCAGTGGCAGCAATGAGTCTTGCCGCCCCACTCTGCCCTCCCGTGCTGGGTTCTGCCTGCTCCTGCCTGTGCCGGTCCAGCCTGGCTGCAGCCCCGTGTCTGCTGTGGGTGCAAAAGTTTTGGGGGCAGATGCACACATTCCCCTGCCCCACACACTGGGGGGCTTGGGCCTGGGGGGCAGCATATTGGAAGTGAGGGGCATGAGAAAGGCTGGGGGGTGGGGATGTGTGTTGGGAGTGAGGGGCACTGGCAGGGCCAGGGGGCTGTTTTCTACTTAAACTATTTACTGGGTCAGGCCTGGCCATTGATGTTTACAAATGGGTCCTGGTAAAATAAAGGTTGAGAAGCACTGCTCTAGAGGCCCTGAGTTGAGGGTCTCAGAATCCAGTGGGTCTCAAGGATTCCCAGGCATGGGGATGACTTGGCTATATGATGAGGTGGCAAAGACTGAGATGAGGGGACAGCAGCTTGGAGAGTACCTGGCCCACATACCCATTCATCTCAGCCACAGAGACATGGGGGCAGTCTTTATCTGGAGGCAAATAAACCTTTTTCCCTGCAACCCTGCTGCAGGCAACAACAAATACCTCGATTTTCATGCTTGCCTATGATCAAATTGTATCTGCCAGATATGGGCAAGGTTGTTGTCTCTCATTGTGCAAGCACAATAGTGCGTCACTGCACTCCTTCACCCACGGGTACTGTGGAGAGCACTGCAGTCATCAGCACTGCTGCAAGAAACCCAGGCTGGGGACAGTACTGACCACCCCAGAGACAGCCACATACCAGCGGGGACAGACTTCTGGAGCAGGCCTGGAACATACTTTGTGGCCTAGCCAGCTCTCTGCCAAGGAAATGTTCCTTACCAATGCACTCTCCACGCACGTCCTGCTTGTATCCCATGTTGCACTCGCATCGGTAGCTGGAGGGGGTGGGGATGCAGCGCCCATTCAGACACAGGTTGGTGAAGTGCTTGCAGATGTCAATGGTCTGATTTAAGGTGGCAGTTCCTGACAAACAAACAAGTAATAGAGACAGTCTCGGAGTGTGAACAGCAGCTCCTCAAATAGTAGCCCTTGCCTGTGACTCCTCCTCTGTATCCCCAGGCCTTCATTTCAGGATCTCTTCAGTCTGAGAGAGGGTGCCCAGAGAAGTGGAAAACACATATGTAGAGCATATATCTCATGCTGGGCACTATGGGTTTGGCTTCCCAGCATTTTCTGTAATTCACAGGCCACCAGAAGTCATCTCTCTGCTTCTCCCCGCCTGGAGTCATGCCATAAGTTTCAGTTTTATGCATCTCATGGGACCCAGCAGCGAGTGATGTTGTGTTCAGCCCATTCCCTCCCCAAGGCAATGAGGGGGATTTCTATTCTCACTGACACAGAAAAGAGTCCTTGGTTTTTGAACACAAGCAACAATTTCCTCCAGGATATTCCAGACCAATGAACTCACCCTGTTGAAGGGTCAAAGAGACAAAGCTGCCTCTGGGGCAAGATCCAGGATTTCCCTGTTTGCAAGAACTTGTTAAAAAACAATCAGAGGACAGTCGCAGGCTACCAATCCCATTTTAGTGGTTTATGCAAGCCTGTGCTTTCCACAACCATCCTTGGGTTCCAGCACAACTCCCTCTACAACTTGGGTCTCCTTATTTGCCTACTGTAGCATCCAGGGAAATTTCATTTTTCTGGCACATTTTGGCCCAGGCAAAGCAATGGGACTGGAGGAGCAGGAGCTGCTGCAGCTCAGATCTGCAAGGTAGCGGCTGAGATACCATCTTTGTCGGAGACCCTGGAATTCAAACCCCAATCTGTGACACCCACAGGCAGAGAACCAGGCTGCAGAAAGACTAGCCACATACCTGCTCCAGCTCACTCTGAGTCTGACCATGAGATTCCTAACAAGGGATTGGGTGACCTGACAGGACAAATGGAGGCCACAAGCCCCTGATAGGAGAGCTATAAACCTCCCATTTCCTGTAGGGCCTTGTCTTTGCAACAATATTCTTTGTACCTTTCCTGTGGACTTCCTTGCTTGCCCCCGGACCCGCTGCTCCTGTTTTGGCCCTCCTGACTCTGAATCTGCCTTGGACCTCCCTGCCATTCCTCCAGCCTTGCTACAGCCTTAGACCTTGCTTACCCTATCTCATATTTTGGATTACCCAGCTCCTGACCTGGACTCACTTGGACTCAGATTGGCACTCGGTGTGACACTCAACTTTGGCTTCTAGACTTATGATATAACCCTCTCAGCTTCTGAATTCAAGCCAACCATGTCTGAGTTGTACCTGTGACAATCTTGCTCAAGACAGTGTTATGGATACTTCATCTCAGAGCATAATGATACTTTTTATTCCTTATAATTCCTAATGTTTTATGTCTTTAAACTGCTGCTGGACACTAAGCTGATTTTTTTTTGGCAATAGGGATACAGATTGATTTTTAGATCTCTTTCTTTTGTAGCAACAGTTAATGCAGAGTCCATCACCTGGGCTTATTTTGAACTATTTATTCCTCTGTGTGCATTGTGCACTACTTTGCACTTATTAACAATGAATTTCATCTCCAGGTTTTTTCCCCTTTCACTCAATTTTGCAACCAAGTTTCTAGGCATTTATTCCTCTGCACTAGACAGGCAAGGGAGGGAAGAAGGTTGTGAGAGCTCTGTTCCTATTCTGTAATTAGAAAGACATTCTCCATTGGAAGGCAGGCTGCCTCTTTGGCACTGAGAGCCGCCTCAGCTCCCTGGCTCAGACAGAAGACACCCTTTGATCTGTTTGCTAGGCTTAGCATTCTGCACAGCATTAGTGTCACATCCCATTGCTCCACAAATGTCGAGACAAACCTAGTGACTGGGTTAAAGCACTGTTACCTTGTTCATATGCATGCAGCTCAGACAAGCAGGCAGACACACTGGATGTTCTAAGAAATGCAGTTGTAAGAAAGGTATTTTAATTTACCAATACTTGAACTTCCTGGGCCCATTCCAGGCAGGCCTGGGATCCCGCCTTGTCCATTAGCCCCATTTGGTCCAATGCCTCCAGGTCCACTGATTCCAGGCCCGACACCATTTGGCCCAAATCCAGGAATTCCTGGGAAGCTCCCAGGGAACCCTGGCACTACTGGGAGTCCTTCAATGCAGAGTCTGCGGTATTCATCTGAAACGAAACAGCTGTCTTAGTGCTTTCCAACATCCTGGTCCAACGCTCCTTGTTCATGTCAAATGAGTATAACAGAATAGCCGAGAGGCAGAGGCCAGGGACGGCCAAACTGGCACAAGGACATCAAAGCCTAGGTACTCAGAGAAGTCTAGTAGGAAGAAAGGGACTCTCTGCCTGGGGACAGAGAGTGTGTCTAGAGACAGGAAGATGGGTTAGGAAGGATGGAAGCATGAGTTACCTTTTGTCAGTAATGAAGCCCTGCAGCCTTTGGTCTTACGTGGTCTTTGCAACCATGTGGCCAATAGACCCTGCACTGGAGTAACTAGGGGGCCAGTCTCCTCCATGCAGCAGGGCCCAGGATGTAACAGGGCCACCTAGATATGATTGTTCAATCAAGATTTTCAATGGATTGTTGCCCTGCATTGCAAAGAAGTAAAGGGAGACCTGGGAAGGGGGAGTGCAGTCACACAGCAAGGCAGAGACAGAGACAGAAAGAGCACTCAGAGACCGAGGGTCCCAACTCCCAAACCCTGAGGTTGTTATTAGGTCACTGACTTATTCACCAAAAGTCTGACAGCAGAAAGGGATAGGCTGAAGCTGAGGCAAGCAGTGAGATTATTGCCCTGCAAGAATCCTTCTGAAATGCCTTTACATAGAGGAGATGTCCTGAGCCAGGTGATCTTAAATCTGAACTCCCCGACACTGGATGCCTGCACTGCAACCATCTTCAGTGCATCTGTGTCAGTGAGTTCCCTGGCAGGTCCTGTAGGACACTCACCAGGGCAGCTCACCACCAGTCGCTAGCAGGTTGGACTCATCAGGATACTAGGGATTTATTGTTTTCCTTACCAGATCCCCTGACTGGGCACATTTCAGGAGTCTGCCCAATTGCCCAGCAGCGTCCAGAGTCACAGCAGCATTGCATCTTGGTGTATTGGCCCGGGAGCTCCCCAGCACAGCGTCCACCGATCAGAGCTGAGAAACATGTGCCAATCCGCTGGTCTGCAACAATAAGAGTGAGAGAAGCCCCACATACATGGAGGTGGAGCTTAAAGGGGGAGATCATAGAATCATAGAAAATTAGGGTTGGAAGGGACCTCAGGAGGTCATCTCAAAGCAGGACCATACCCAACCAGATCATCCCAACCAAAGCTTTGTCAAGCCTGGTCTTGAAAACCCCCAAGGATGGAGCTTCCACCACCTCTCTGGGTAACCTGTTCCAGTGTTTTACTACCCTCCTAGTAAGACAATTCTTCCTAATGCTTAACCTCAATTTCTCTTGCTGCAACTTGAGACCATTGCTCCTTGTTCTGTTATCTGTCACCACTGAGAACGGTCCAACTCAATCCTCTTTTGAACCCTCATTCAGGTAGTTGAAGGCTGCTGTTAAATACCCCCTCAGTCTTCTCTTCTCTAGACTAAATAAGTTCAGTTCCCTCAGTCTTTCTTCAGAAGTCATGTCCCCCAACCCCTTGCCATTTTTGTTACCCTCTGCTGGACTCTCTCCAATTTGTCCACGTCCTTTCTGTAGTGGGGGGTCCAAAACTGAACACAGTACTCCAGATGTGGCCTCACCAGGGCTGAACAGAGGGGAATAACCACTTCCCTTGACCTACTGGCAACACACCTAGCAATGCAGGCCAGTGTGCCGTTAGCCTTCTTGGCAACTAGGGCACACTGCTGGCTCATATTCAGCTTACTCTCCACCATAACCCCCAGGTCCTTTTCTGCAGAGCTGCTGCCCAGCCAGTCAGCCCCCCAGCCTGTACTGGTACATGGGATTGTTCTGTCCTAAGTGCAGAACTTTGCACTTGTCCTTGTTGAACCTCATGAGATTCCTTGTGGGCCCAATCCACCAATTTGTCTAGGTCACTCTGAATCCTAGCCCTACCCTCAAGTATATCTACTACTCCCCCACAGCTTGGTGTCACGTGGAAACTTGCTAAGTGTGTCCTCTATGCCATCTTCCAGGTCACTGTTGAAGACATTGAACAAAACCGGCCCCAAGACTGACCCCTGGGGCACTCCATTTGATACCAGCTGCCAACTAGACATTGAGCCATTGATTATTACTTTTTGAGCCCAATGCTCCAGCCAGTTTTCTATCCACCTTACAGTCCATTCATCCAACTCATACTTCCTTAGCTTGCTTGCAAGAATGTTGTGGGAAACTGTATCAAAAGCCTTGCTAAAATCAAGGTGTATCACATCTACTAGTCTCCCCGCATCCACAGAGCTGGTCATCTCATCATAGAAGGCAATCAGGTTGGTCAAGCATGATTTGCCCCTGGTGAATACATGCTGCCTGTTTCTAATTACTCCATGATTTTTCCAGGGACTGAGGTGAGTGAGGCTGACTGGTCTGTAATTCCCTGGATCCTCCTTTTTCCATTTCCTAAATATGGGAACTATGTTTGCCCTTTTCCAAACACCTGGAACCTCCCCTGAGATGCCACCACAGCATTGACTCAGCCTCCTTCCAATCAACCTTTCCAACAGGGACAGATGATGTGGATAGGGTGGCCATCAAGGTACCTCAAGAATAGAGGACAGTTGCATTTAGTGCAATTGTCCCCACCACCATGAACGTTGTGTGCATCCCGAGGACATAAAATAGAGGACATAAAGGTGTCTGGTTTCATATCAATAGAGGACAGAGGACCAGAAAACCAGACTGTGCTCTATAAAACCGGACATATGGCCACCCTACATGTGGAATGGGAGAGGCATGTTCAGAGAAATAGCACCAAAAAAAAAGTACATCGGGCAGTCTGCTGTCACTCTTCCCCCCAACTCCTCCCCTTGTACCTTCTTGCTTGCAGGGTGCAGGGACAGGCAAGGTGTGCTAGGAATTGTAGTTCTCTAAAGTGACAGTGGAAGTCTTTGCTGTTAGGTGGGGAAAGTGGGGAGGGGGGAAGGGGATGAAAGTGGGGAGGGGGAAAGGGGATGAATTTCATGCCACTTTTTTTGGTCTAAACCCATGGCCTGAAGGCAAAAAAATGGAGTAAATTCTCTGCCTGGCAGCAAACTCCAATGCTGCTCTACAAAACATTTTTCAGGGGCCCATTTCCCTTATGGAGCCTGGAATAAGGCCCATATTACATCTAGCCTGCAACTGGATCAGAATAGGTCTCTTGAAAATAGCAACATATTCCAGTGTCTTCTTTTATGGTATCTAGTCCAACTTCCTGCTCAAAGCAGGACCAGCTCCAACTAGATCATCCAATGGCAAAACAGTTAAGAGGTATGAACCTGGATCCCAACTTAGTCTTGAAGACCTGGAGTTACTTGGGCCATTTGTAGATGTGCTCACCACCTTTTAAACCATGTTAATTGATTTGCATCATAGAGTTCAAATCAAATTGCAATTCAAATTAAGGGTTAATAGATGATCAAGGGGGTTTCCCCACTTCTTCACAGACCAGTAACCCCTGCCCTTCCGCAAGGCTGGGGGCTTAATCAGGATACTGATACTTAGTCATGGTGAGGTATTGTTGGCACATTTGACTTTGTAAAGATGTTGCTTTGTGCCTGATAGCCTCTGTTGTGTTGCTAAAACCCAACTGAGTTTCCCTTGAGGGGACTGATATTTGCAATGCTTATCTGAGTTCCTAAGGACTGTTTTATGTAAAAGCAATGCTTTAAATATATATTAATTAATACAGTTAAAATTGCCTAATTCAGACTGCCCTAATCTGCATTAATTTTAATCCTCATTCAATGAGGATTAGTTCATTCAATTTTAATTCAGATTATAGACATCCATGTGTATAAAGTGATGGTTGCAGTCTGGATTAAACCCAGAAAAAATGTAATATCTATAAACAGCTTTTGGTACCAAATGCCTATGTAGGTGACAAGCTTACCATTGATTTTAATAGTGAATTAGGCACCACTGTACATTTATACACGTGGGGGGCTGCTTAATTAAAGCCCCCAGAGTGTCTTGTGTATCAGCATCCCCATGCTTAAAAATGGAAGTAGGGGCATTTATCTAAAGTTCATTGAATGAGCATTAGATACAGTGCCCCTGCCACCACTTTTAAGTGCAGGGACACTGATACACGAGATGCCGGAGGCTGCTGGAGCACTGTAATTACCATGCTCCAGCAGACTCAATTAATCAAGGCTGCTCCAACGCGCTGTAATTATAGTGCATTGGAGCAGCCTCCTTGCTCATTTATAGGCACCCCAAGATAGGAGAAAGGTACCTAAACACCATTGTGAATCTAGCCCCGAGTACTTACTTGGACTCTTAGGTTGCATCCACATGAGTGTGCATGTATGGTTTGAGCTGCCACAAAATGCACCCCATGCACATGATTTGGTTCTCTGCAGTGTGGAGCCACGTTTAGATACTGAGAAATCCTGGTATCAAAAAAAAGTGCATGAAAAAAAGTGGGGTGGCACATGTGGGAGCAGCATGTGCCACCTGAAACTGGAGCCTGGCCAGCCAGACCCACACTCCGGCTCCTGGTCAGGCTCCACGCACCCAGATTGCTGCCACTGGAGCTAATTTGTGCTGATTTTTCTTGCGCAGCAACCCCCATTGGGGACATGGCCTTAGGTGCTATAAGTATCCATTGACAGCCCACAGGAGTGGGAGTAGTAGATGTTCAACTCCTCTATTGTAAGGTCTACCCATAGCATTTTGAGGTACTTGGAAGATAAAGAGCCGTTTTAGGGTAGTGTCATGCTGTAATTTATTGTGAGCAAAGCAGGTGCATCCATTCTTCCCCTATAGACCTATTCTCTTTCCAGACATACTTCTAGGATTCATCTGATATTTCTTTACCTTCCCATTCGGAGTTCATAGGTATATTTTAAGGTACCCCTCACCTTCATATTCACAACTCCAAAGACCAAATACCATATTTACCTGAATCCAAGCTGACTTTGAATTTAAGATGACCATCCCCACCTGCCCCATAATTAGATTATATACATGGAAAATGTATACATTTGTTATAATTTTTCATACATAGAATCAAATTATCAGAGGGTCATCTTACACTCATCATCCCACAACTGCTACAATGGAGAAAGCAGTTGCAGGGAGGGAAGTGGTAGGGGCAAGCAGCAGGGAGGGTAAGCAGCTTGAGCACTGCCCCCTGCTCCCATCACTTGTCCCCCCTGCCTCCCCCAGTGTCTGCACACATAGGCCCCAACTTTTGTTTTTGCTGGTGGGAGCTTGCAGACATAACCTCACCCCCTCACCCAAAACAGCGCTTTACTTTAGCATGCCTGCACTGAGCTGTGTGTATGTCCAGAAAAGGCAGGGCTCTGCAGCATCTGTAAAGATTGGGCATTTTAAGGGGGGAGGAAGGGGGGCACTTTTATCTAATAAGCTGATTGAATCAGATTTAGCTAAAAGCACTAAAAAGCCCCGTTGAAGCGCTTGATCTATGTAGACGCTGCAGAGCTAGGTTGAAGTAAGGTGCTGCTTCTTTTGGTAAAGAGCGGGGTTTTTTCTTTTTTCTTTTTTTAATGTCTGCAAATATGAAAAACCATAATGGCTGTGGCTCAGGGGTACTGTGCACCTGCTAATTTTTTTTTTATGAGAGCTTGACCTCCTAACACAAGTAAAGATGCTTCCACGCCCCAGGTGGGGGTTGGGCCCAAACTTCAACTGCAGCTGCGGGCCCTGCGGGAGGAGTCGTGGCCTCTCTGCTCGGCTCTGTGGGACCGTGGTTTGCCAGTCCGTGGTCACTTCTGGTCTAGCAGTCAACCCTTCACAGCCCAGGGGTTGGTTTAGAGGCCCCTCATAACATGAGGCCCTAAGCTCAAGCTTACTTTGCTTGTGCCTAAATCTGGCACTGCCCCCACTGTCTCTGCCCCCATCTCTGTTTGTGTCTCTGAACTACCTAGTATAGCCAGCCCCTAATCATTATTGGGAACTCTCATTCTTCATCATCCTCATTTTGGAGCCCTCTGGTTTTGCTGATAGCTAAGACTTCTAAGGCATGTCTACACAGTCATTAATGCGCTGTAGTTACTGCTCA